TACTAGTAATCTGGTAGCAGAACATTTCAGGATGAGTCTCAAAGTAGTTGCATACTCACAGCTGTATCTGGCATGTCTCGAATATCTTCTAAACTTGATGATTTATGTGTTGGCATCTGAGGTGTCTTTTCCACATCTGCAACTACAGTCACAGTAGTGTTGTTTTCTGTTGCCTTGGTAACGTGTATGACGGTATCGTTGTGAATGACACTGACTGGACTGGCCCCTTCTTGCATCATTCTAGTTGGCACCAAATTGATTTGCTGAGAGTTAACAGGAGTTGATGTTGCAGTCGGAAACGGCATTGACTGTTTGATTGGAATTGATGTCTCAATTTCCTGTTGAAGAAGTTTTACAATGCATTTGATATATCTAAGCATCTTCTTAGATGTGACATATTATTTTCACACAAAACAAATTTTAGAATAAATTTTACTTAAACTTGGTTACACATCTACCCATATAGGACTTGAAGCATAAATGTATGACACACAATGTATGAAAATAATCAATGTAATTTAACGCCATGGATAACTGAAACATGTATATGGAAAACGTAACTGCCTTCAAAACATGATTCCATTGAACCTCAATAACATTTGACAAGGATTCACACAGTACTGTAAAATACTTTATTTTAGCTGGAATTAATTTTCACTGAAAAGACTTTTTGGATGTTTTGTATGGAATTATTTTCAGTGATTTTTGATGAGTTAAATGTAAAATAGGAGAAAAAGGTATATTTATTTGATTTTATTTTCACTGAATCATTCCTTCAGCAAAAATAGCGAAAATTAATTCCAAGAGAAAATAAAGTATTTTACCGGTACAGTAATTGAAATCAAATTTGACACTCCTCCCCCTCCATTTAAAGAGAATATCTTCGTCGTGCACATGTTTTAATGATCCACTGCCCTCAAGAGTGCATGTTTATAATCATATATTAATCAACAAGCACTAATTATGCAATTGATAATTTAATTAGGACTCATTTTCAATGGATCCAAATTACCTCCGGTAGTAGTTTAGATTTTTGACTGACCTTATCTCTATTCGACTCTTCCAAATCAACAGTCGACGGCTGAGAATTTAACGTTGATGTACTATCACTCTGTGCACACTCCATGCCGTTCTCTAAAACGTTGTAAACAAAACAAAACAATTGAGACAAACAATAAAACAATCAACTGATGACAATTAGTGCATATTCAGTCAAAAGTTATCTTCTTATATCTACGGTGAGAAATGTAAAAAAAAAAAGCATTCAAGTGTATTTTATTATTATGTGTAAACTGTATTTTATATGTGTTGGTAGAATGCCATGAGGTGCCTGCATTGCGGAGATATGAAATCTAGATTCTGTACTTTAATAAAACATTGCAAAGTACTGTAGAGTACTTTATTTTTTGCTTGGAATTAATTTTCGCTGAAGGAGTGGTTCAGTGAAATTAAAATCCAGCGAATATACCTGTTTTCCTATATTTTACATCCAACTTCTCAAAAATCAGTGAAATTGAATTCCATGAAAAATACACAAAAAGTCTTTTCAGCGAAAATTAAATCCAGCTAAAATAAAGTGTTTTACAGTAGATAGGGTTAAATATTGGAGAGGAGGTGCATTCTGTTTATAGATATCTAGTCTAAAATAGATAACATTTTGAAGTTAGTTGTGTGTTAAAACATACAAATTTGGATGTACATGTGAAATATAATGTATCTATAGCCTTGGAGGGTACCAGTGCACAACAAACAATAAAGATGTTGTAAACTAATTTATTGCATCCAGTATAGACAAGCCTGGTATTTCTTATGAAATTTAAACTGTGACAAGGTGATTTACTGAAGCTGACAATTCTTTTGGTGGCATGTATGGACTGTTTGATTGTTGCCATAAGAATTGCATGATGATAAACAGACATTATACTTCATTGAATTCTAGGGTTTAATCTTGTTGGAGGTATGCAAGGTCAAAACATTAGCCAGGATGGCGCAATTAATGATAGTGTAGTGCTCTGAAATTATCATTCTTATTATATACCGGGTACTGAGAATTTTGATAATGATGTCATAAATTTCAAAAATCCCAAAACAATAATGATGATTACAAGCAAGCTAAAACTGCAGCTTGTTATATCTACAACAGTAAAATACTCATTCCTGGGCCAAAAATGTGAAAATAATAATGATGTTTATATAGTTGATATGACCACAATAAAAACCATTTGTGTAATCACTTGAGACACCAGTAAAACTGCATATACATTTGTACCACTTGTGTGTACAAATGGTTAAGAAACTGTTTAAATGTTGCGGTTATTCCCTATTTATACATGTATCTAAATTTCCAGCATTCAGAAGACAAGAAAACCCAACAAGGTGACACAAGAATTAAAAAATTCTGGATTACATATGCTGTAATATGGATCATAGCAAAGAAGCAATGGTAACCATGACGATTATCATTTACATTTATGTGATTCACAAGAAGGAAAGAAATAAGGTCATAAAAACATGATTAGAAGTTTCTGCAACATGTCATTAACTTTTGATGAACTATTTCACAACTCTTCAAAAAATTAGGGGGCACTTTCAATTTAGGACAAAATGGCCATCGCTTTGGGCATAATGCTTTGAGGGAAAATAAGGCTACTGGTTACTGCTTATTTCCTTCAATCAAATAACAAAACTTGTATAATTTGAAATTATAAACATGAAGAATTGAAAGTAATAGGAAAATATTCCAAAAAATTATGATTTTTTTGAAAATTTCAGAAATTTTACAAATTTGGTACAAATATTTTGTACACAAAAGAAACAAAACTTTTCAAGACATATCTTAATAATTTATTTACATAATGACTTCTAAAGTTGTGAAATATCATACAAGCCTATAAATTCCTGTATTCATAAACAGAGAGCAATCAATGATACAAGTTTAATAGCAAGATCTAAAGCAGAAGGCAAGATAATAGAGTAGTTTTTTTAAAAATTAAAAAAAAAATACAAGATGGCTGCCATAGCTCTTTTTGATATGTCCCACTAGTTCTATGAAACAAAAAACATTCCATGCCTTTTGTGCTAAGAGGCGATGTTTTTGATGAGCTGCTATTGTTGTGTGGCCTCTCAGGTGAACCTTAATAATGGAGAGAAAAACAGATGACAGAAAGAAAAAAAAGGATGAAAGAGAGAGAGAGACAAGAGGAAATGGGATTTGGAGAAGCAAAATGACTACACAATAAGCACACATGTGAAGAGCAATTAACAGTTTTAGGCGACAGTTTGGCAATTAAAATCTAAAATAAGCAAAACTACAAGAGTGCTATCATTCATAAAGCTTTATTTGCTCTAAAATTCATAACAAGTTAGAACCTGTTGATTTTAGTTTGATTAAACTAAAAAAAAAGTTTTTTTTTTTTTTTTTACACATTCATGCAAAATTATCATTTTCAATTGAATTTTCACGAGTTTCTTTTGTGAAATTGTTGCCATGCCATTGCAAATTTTAACACTATATCCCGATTTGAAATTCCATATTATCTTCTTTGTTTGGTATACCTGCAATAATATAACTGCAACATCAGTTGAGTAACTTGGTTGCTTAGTCTTACATAATAACAGTAACATCTTACAACAAATCACTCATATAAAAAGTGGCATGATTGTGTTGCTATGTTTAAACATAGCAAGAATAAAGTGATTTGCAAAGACAAACTACATGACAATATTCTTCAATAATGCTTGAACACAAACATTGCATGCACACATACCTAACTAATCATTTACATCTGTCACAAATTAAGCAATAATCACTGCACTCCATAAAATGGTGACTGGCACACACTTACACAGTTCAAAATTTGGCCAGCACAAAAAATGAATCATATAATCATAAAAAAATTATAAAATTTAATTTTTATATGCATATTACGGTGATTTCATTGCTACTGACATAAATTAATATTGAACTTGTCAAGTCTGAAAGAAACAAATAAAAAAATGTACATGCAATAATATGATAAATTTCCAGTTGCAATGTGAGTGATGCTTGATAATGAGTGTGCACTGAATGTATCAATAAGAAAATATAAAACTTGATGTATTAGGGAGTCACTAGAAATAGACTGATGGCAATCGGCTGTCTACTGACCTCCGAACTTTAACCTGTGAACCCAAAACAATCAGGCAAGTTTATCCCACATAAAGCCAAGGATGTAGAGCATGCATGTGTGAATAATGTGAAATTAGAAATCCAATTTGATGTAGTTTTGACCCTTAAAACCAGATTAAAATATTCACATGCTTGGTGTAATGATAATAATGCAAGGAAGAAACAAGAGGTGGGGGGGTGGAGGGCTAAGTAACAGCAGAATACCATCGCTAAATCACCACTCACCTTTCTTACCTTGGGCATTCATGACCATGTCTTGAACTCTTCGGTATCGATTCAACGATCGTTTCAACTCATCAATTTTTCTATCCTGCTCAGCAACGTAAAAGTGTTAATTAGGATTAACACAACTTTTGTTTTTTAATAGGGAGGGTATTCATAGCTAGATCAACCAAATAGATCTTTTGTATACTAATACTATTACAGTATAGAAAATTATTGTTTCAATAACTGACTTATGTTGACGGTTTAATGTAGCCGACAGTCAACTGAAAGGTTTTAGAATTTAATTTAATTTGAAAATTTAATTGATCTAAAAGCAATTAATATCTTGTATAGTAACTTAATGTAGAGGGTGTCAAAAGAATTGCTGCAGAGAAACTAATTTGATTCCTTGGATTTGATACAAAATATAAAAAAAATCAACAAACTTATAAGTTTAAAGCATTCTGTTAAACATGTATGCATAAATTTAGGTAAAAATAGACAAGCATACCATGGTGTCATTTGCATACATTTTTGTCAATTAGCAAGCACACATCTGGTGAAAAATTGGTTAATTAGCACTTGCTTCTGAGATACGCAACAATGTTGCAAGTATATCTCTAAGGACATCCAAAGTGAACTACAATAATATTTGACCTCTGGCCACAAACAACTGCATGTTTCTTGCCAACCAATCACTACACATGTACATAGACACAAAACAAATACACCCTCTCATAATTAAATACAGAAACAGCACAAAGAAATGAAATGATTATTAAACGTCTCACTTACTTTTTCACCATTAGCTACCATCAATGACTCTACTGCTTCTTTTAATTTTCCTACTTCAGTATCTACAACCATATAAGTCAGACTTAAAAATTAGATTTCATGAACAAGCCAAAAATTATTCTACAATAATAGTATGATTCAACTACGTTTGCATGTAAGATGAGTGAGGATCTAGGCAATACAAAGTTTATTTTACTACGGTATAACAATTAGAGATATTCAAAATCACTATTTCACACATTTGTCTAAAGGCAATATATCTACAGATACATTCTAAAAATTAACTTATTTTAGGTTCTGTCAAATTCTATACTCTATCACAGGTGACACACATTGTGAATAGGATACAGGTACAATACAGAGGTGCAATTTGCAGGATAGGAATGGTTTCTTCGTATCATGCATCTTTTTCTCTGTGTAACAGATTTTAAAATTAAACTAGTTAGTGATAGCTCTTTGTTGGATTAATTTGAATAAGTAATAATTTATAAAGTTTAAGTTGGAGAACATATTCAACGAATTTCAATTATTTGATTGTGTTCTACAACAAAGGTCTATTTACAGCAATTCCAGGCACTGATTTGATGCTGAAATAGTGCTAGATGTTGATAATTTTCTACAATAGGTTACACACTTTGTTTTCAAATTTACATAAGTTGTAACTAAAAATATAAACATCGGCTGCAAATCAGAGGAATGATTGACAGATATTGCCCACAATGTTTTCCATTTTTGCTACAAAGTCAGGTACTCCAGTTGAAGTGAGAACAAGAGTTGTCGATTTGTATTTTCATGGACTGTCATTTGCTGAGATTGGAGATTGAAATGGTGTTTCAAAGCAGACAGCTTATAACATTGTCAAACAGGTTGTTACCACCGAGAGTATACTGCCAGGAAACTGACAACGTTATAGATTATGTTGAATATTGTGACTGTGCATTTACGGACGGGAAATTCGTCAAAATCTACTTGTGTACGGCGGCAACCCTCCTCGGACGTGTGATAGTGTGTTGCCTTATTTGGTGGCACAACGACCTGTTGTTTCTCATCGTCAAGAACTAATCATTGAATAACACCCACTCTACTTATGTATTCAATTTCATTACTGATATACTGAATGAAGTCTTCATAGGACATTTGTTGCAGGCACTTTGATCAATAATTCTGTCATGATCAGTCGGTCAGCTGGTTGTTAATTTTATACAATAAAGAAGAAACGAGAAAGCAGTCCTTACATATATGCAGCCAGTTTCCATGGGTACTAGGCCAATTGTACTTCATGGATGTGCTTATTATTTTGTATGTTAATTATGATTGTTTTAATATAAAAGTGCACTATGGAAAAATGCAAACTCCACCCAGAAAAAAAAGGAAAAATGTTTGCATGCACGAAATAGACACAAACTGGTTAATAAAGTTAATTAATTTATTAGCAAATATAAATCAGATTTTTATAACCAAAAAATAACTATATAGTTATGAACGAAACAAAACAAACACAAAGATAATTTTGTAGTACATAGTTTTGCACTCCATTTTCATGGATAATTCACCTTTCTGCAATCAAATATTTTCTCATATAGTGTATTTCCTAGTCGGGAGATGTTCTACTCGCTGTTTTCTGTTCTGAATACGTTTTGCACAGCGTTTTGTTTTTTGCCAAATCACCATCTTTTCTATTTCTCGAGTTGCAGCTGTCAGAATTTTCAAATGAGCTGCTGTCATGCTATTGGTCGAAATGATTTGCATGAAACTCCATGAAAAGGTTAATAAACGCCTTGTAATTTGCCATGGGAATACAATATTTGAATTATATACTAGCTGTATTAGAGCACCACACATGTTGAGTGTACTTTACATGTGCTGCATACGTAACATGGGACCCATAACTAACATGACAACCCAGATGCTTTGACCATTACAACTCCTAATGGTTTGAAAAAATAGATCAAGTTGAATAAGTCATTAACTGTATCAACCAGATAGGGTCCAACTATCCTAAGCACGCATAATTTGAAGTCATTAAAGAAACCTGGATTCAATCCCTGGTAGGATATCCTGTGTTTGATAATCAGAGGGAAAACAATGTCTATAGGTTCTACCGGTAGTCTACGTAGTTGGCATGCAGAAAACACCATTCACTTTATTTTTTTTGCTTACATTTCTGTCTTAATTTGACTTGCAAAAAAGCAATAATCTCTTCTGTAGCAAAAACAAAGAAAAAAAAAGGCACATCCAAGGTCGTAGGTCAAATATTTTTCATCAGGTCAAAGGTTAAACCACTACACAATCAGTATAGCATAGCAAAGAGAAGAAACAAAATATTTTCACCCAAAAATAATTAAATGATACAGTAGCAGTTATTGAGGCAACAAACAATTCCAAAGCATTTCGGTAAAAAGTATCAGTATTGTAAGTTTTTTTAATAAGGTAGCAAAAGCACAAGATAGCATAGATATGAAATACCATATTTGACCTATTAGAAGCACATTTTCAAGTTGCATACAAAATCAATCAGTATACATGTACTGAAAGAATAAATATATCACTTATTTTGAAAACACACATCTCAATTATTTAAGCACATGTGCTGCTAACAGAGTAAATATGGTGCATTTGTGATGTCACAAGCTCACACAATCTTTACCTTTTTCAAGGTTTGTTGTAGCTTCTTTGACTTTCCTCAAGGTGTCAATTTCCCTTCGTAAACATTCAATTTCTTCATCTTTTTCCCTCACCTGGGTTTTATACTCAGCCAACTCATTCTAAGAGAGAGACAGTTGTGAATACTATGCTATAAGACAAGGAAGATTGTCAGGGCCTTGGAGGTTAAAGCAGTTTAGGTTTTTCTGAGCAATGACAATTCACTTAGACACCCTTTGAAAATTACAGAGCATAAGATGATGGGAGAAAGAGTAAAATAATAATTTACTGTGATATTAATTTTCAAGTTAATTGTGGATGGTTTTTGTTTCAGGAAAATCAGTTTGTAATAATGAAAATCAGTTTGCAAAGTGCGATTCTGTTCTGTTTTTCACAAAAACAAACTGACGTAACCTAGCAAAGACAATTTACAAACTGTCAGAGTAAAACAGTCCTGATAAATGTACATAGTTCAATACATGAGGAATGTTTTTTCAAGGCATTGAGGGACAAGTGTTTACATATAGAGTTGATCAGGTCAACAATACTGTATTGTAATAGACGCTTTATTATGGATGATATCCAGTATGTTTACCATATATTCTCGGAGTCTGTCATCAGGTTCTAACTGATCTCTTTCCGACCTGGCAAGTTTTATCTTCAGTTCAGACACAGTATCCACAAGGTTCAACTTCTCGTTCTGTAAAGACGTCCTTTCTCCAATTTCCTGTTGATGACACAAATGGGGAGGTTTGAGAGGCAGGCGGTGATTAAATTTCAATCAATGGCATGTTAGTTTCCAAAAATATAAAGGGCAATCAGCATCCTGTGTTTTTACTCTAGAGAACACAGCAAAGTCATAACAAAAGGCAGTGCATATTCCTAGACTCACAAATCTAAGGGCAGAACTGAATATATACAGTCTTTTGACAAATCACGCAACATACAAATTTTACCACATTGTTTTTAGTGGTATACAATAATGCAAGTTTATATGTCTATACGTCAACAAATAATAAGTATACAACTCAGCTCTATCATTGTAATAGTCAATCTGAAGGTCAAGACAAAATTGTTAGCAATATGACCTTTACTACAATATAACGCACCCCAATATCAAGGAAAATTCACCAGCTACTGTATTCGCTCTATTAGTAGTGTGTTTACGTAAATTGCATGGTTTCTATGGTTGTACGGAGATATTTTAATGATTTAGCAACAACAAATGTGATTTTTGTTTCATGCATGCTTCTTTTGGAGAGACACTTCTAATAGAACAAATATGATAATAGTATACAGTAAATCATTGTCCATAGCAACCACTGTTACCATGGAAACATACATAATTTTATACTCCCATTTGTGTTTACGTCTACAATTATTCAAAAATCAGTCTCTCATCTGCTGCACAAAGTGAATTGCACTGACACGCATGTTGTTAAAATTGTAAACTTAGACAGCTTTATAATAGGTTCATATATATATTTAACTCCCTGGCTATAAAACTGATTTACAGCCAGAGGTTCTCTTGCCAAAATATTTGTGCAATATTTCCTCTTAATTGTTTATGGTGTCTGTTAGTATTACAGCAGAGGCAAGAAGAAATCACTCAAGAGAACAGGCCAGCATTTCTGTGAAGACTCAAAATTGGTTTTGTAAAAAATGTCAGTGTACTAGGTACACACATTTATACAAAGCTTTACGATGTGATGATGACACCTAACAGAGAGCTCACTCAAAGCCAATCCCAACCCCCCAATATTCAAAAAGTACCTGTTGTAACATTTCTTCAGTTTTATCCACTTTTAATAGGGTCTGTTCAATGATGGTATTTAGTTCTCTGATATTGTCTGTCTGCGCTTCCACCTGATCAGTCAATACACTGACTTGTAACATCAATGAAGACTTATCATCTTCCAGTCTTTGCAGCTTCTCCTCGTCATTGTCATGGTGATGACATTGACAACTATTGCCATTAGTCTGAAATTAAAAAAATATATTTCAAAGATGAGATATGATGTAAATGATGCGAAGAAATCAAAGAAAGGTTCATATATATGGTCATTGTCAGAGAAATGGGAGGGATTGAAGAGGGGTTGAAGGGGTTTGGATTGTTTGAAGGGAGGGACACAGGAATTTAGATATAGAATAGATATCAATAAAAAATATTATCCAAGAATCATACAGTACACTGTATGTATGTCTGGGTGAAAGCTGGAGAAGATTGTGCCTGGCACACTACTTGACTTAACGGTCTAGAAGATGCATTTATTAAATTATGTATGGAAATATTATTTCAATACAGTAAAAAAAAATCAAATTTGAATGAATAAGAAATAATTATTTGAATGAATAAGAAATAATTATTTTCATGCAAAACAAAAGGAAACAAATTTCAATGATTGTATGAAATAATACTTCATCAGATGCTAACAAGCTGTGCATGACCCAAAAAATTAATTTCATATGTTTACTTGTCATCCCACAGATGTAAACATGATAACAAAATGTGTAAAAAAAATTGAACGTATAAGGAATAAAAAAAAAAATCAAGTGAAAATAATGCATTACTATGGTGAGATGAGAAAGAAACAGCAAGCCTTCAAATACAATGTAAAAAGTTATGATAAATTTGTTAACAAACTTTTGTAATTTGGTCAGAATGTGTCATTGACCTTAAGCAGTGTTCATGTACAAATACATTGTAACAAAGACTGTGATGCATAAAAGAGTTGTTTGTAATTGTTAGTTGTGTTCATTTTTATCAATAACGCATCGCATCTATTTCTTGTGTTCTAAGAAGCAGTAATCAGAAAGTTAGTGTGATGTGCCAACATGAAAATGTGTTTGTGTGAATCAAAGCATAAATTTACATTAACATGACATCTGTTTCATAGAAGGTAGCAAGAAGGAACAAATTATCACATTTTCTATTTTTTCATAAAATAAAAACAAATGACAAAATTTAAATTACATAATGTTGTAGCCACATAACATTACAAATGATGAAATGGATTTTTCTCCATTATAATGAACAAATTACATTCACAAAAGAGATTTACACTTTAGAAACATAAATCAACTGTTAAAAATTATTCAAATTTCAACCATAAGAAATTGATTGGTATAGATACAATCTAGTCAATACTGATTTAGCCAAGCACAGCAATGATTATATTTCTCAATATAATTCCATCTTGGACATCAACTACGGGATTCAAAGCTTATAGTGTCCATATAATAACTCTCTCAAATACTTTATGAGAGAAATATATGCTCACTAGTTGTTCACTTTCAATTACACTAAAAGTACACTAAAAGTACATGGAAATTAAAGTCCTTTGTGGGTATTTACCCAAATAAATATGGGAGGCAAAATTATCACAATAGTTTGTTTCAAAAGTGTAACATAATAACCATGTCATCAACTTTTTGGCTTTTTCACGCAGTACGAAATAAAATTTATCCCAAAGATTATACATGTATACACCAAGTTTGAAATCTGATGAGTGGATAATTAAAGTGTCAACATACAACTCACATGTGCCGGGTGTAAAAAGAAAATCAGAAATTTGTAAATATTCAAGATCAATTAAACATTTTTGTATTAACCTTTTAAACAAGAAGACTGATAACTAATCTGATCTTTGCAAACAAGTGAGACTAAAGTTGGCAAATTGATATGCAAATTAGGTAATTATTATGCACAGATTTCGATCAAAAAGTAATCAGGTATGAGCATCATCCAGGAGCATGAATTTATGAAGTTTCAATGAAATTCCATGATTAGTTTTCGAAAAAATGCTTTGAGTGAACCAAAATAATGGGTTACTATGGTGATATAAATTATTCAAAGTTCATGATTAGTTTTTCAGATATATTAGACACTTTACTGTACTTCACACACAGAAGTAAAAAATCAGTTCAGCCTGTCTGCTTGTTGTCCGTTACCAAACTATTAATGAAGACACCACTGAGGGGTCAGTGTAGAAAGAAAAGTCGATCAGAAATAAATAAAGGGAAATCCATTATAAACACACAGATGAGGTCATTGTTACCATGGCACATGTTGCTATGGCAATGACAGATACACTAAGTTGAGGCACTGTAAAATGATAGAATTATCACAAGAGCCAATAGATCTGGTGTTATTCATTATTTGTATAATTGAATATCACCATGGGGTGATAGACCTACTAGGGATATAGAATATGAATTGAGATGAAAAAACACATTGACTTTTGACAATGTTTTTATACACACTAAGAATCAGATGTTAAAGTGAGCAGCCATATGTCTGCTGAACGAGCCAATGGAATAGATAACAAGACACGAGGAGGAATGTCTTTTTAAATAATAAATAGAAAGCCTTTCATTTCACTGTGCCTGTCACACAATATAGCTGACCTGCTAGTCTGATGATGTGGCAAACACAAAACATTTGTCTTTACTGGTATGCAATAATATGTAAAATGTTTTAATATGGAAAATTGTAAAATCGTGAACACGCATTGGAGTCATTAAAGTAGTGACTCTGGATTCACAGTGTCTACGGCAGAGGGGTTTACAGTAGTTATTGGATACCAAGATTCACAGCGACTATGGCCAGGATTCATAGCACCAGGATTCACAGCAACTATGGCCAGGATTCATAGTACCAGGATTCACAGCAACTATGGCCAGGATTCATAATACCAGGATTCACAGCGACTATGGCCAGGATTCATAGTACCAGGATTCACAGCGACTATGACCGGGATTCATAGTACATTGTACCAGGATTCACAGCGACTATGGCCAGGATTCATAGTACCAGGACTCACAGAGACAATGGCCGGTATTCATAGTACCAAGATTCACACCGACTATGGCCAGGATTCATAATACCAGGATTCACAGCGACTATGGCCAGGATTCATAGTACCAGGATTCACAGCGACTATGGCCAGGATTCATAGTACCAGGATTCACAGCGACTATGGCCAGGATTCATAGTACCAGGATTCACAGCGACTATGGTCAGGATTCATAGTACCAGGATTCACAGCGACTATGGCCAGGATTCATAGTACCAGGATTCATAGTACCAGGATTCACAGCGACTATGGTCGGAATTCACAGCGACTATGGTCGGGATTCATAGTACCAGGATTCACAGCGACTATGGCCAGGATTCATAGTACCAGGATTCACAATACCAGGATTCACAGCGACTATGGCCAGGAATCATAGTACCAAGATTCACATTGACTATGGCCAAGATTCATAGTACCAGGATTCACAGCGACTATGGCCAGGATTCATAGTACCAGGATTCATAGCGACTAAGGCCAGGAATCATAGTACCAAGATTCACAGCGACTATGGCCAAGATTCATAGTACCAAGATTCACAGCGACTATGGCCAAGATTCATAGCACCAGGATTCACAGCAACTTTGGCCAGGATTCATAGCACCAGGATTCACAGCAACTATGGCCAGGATTCATAGTACCAGGATTCACAGCAACTATGGCCAGGATTCATAATACCAGGATTCACAGCAACTATGGCCAGGATTCATAGTACCAGGATTCATAGTACCAGGATTCACAGCGACTATGACCGGGATTCATAGTACCAGGATTCACAGCGACTATGGCCAGGATTCATAGTACCAGGACTCACAGAGACAATGGCCGGGATTCATAGTACCAAGATTCACAGCGACTATGGCCAGGATTCATAATACCAGGATTCACAGCGACTATGGCCAAG